GTCATTATTTCCTTAATACTATATTACAATATGGGGAGCTCTGACCCCTATTTATACTACAGCCCCGCTTAGATTACAGAAACAAACCCATCAAACACTTCCTAATGTAGTGCTAGCATGACACACCTAGCGCAAGGTGTATTATGCATGGTGAACGTGCTAAAGGCACAACACATATCTCCTTTAAAATTGTCTATCTGTGGGAGCTGTCATGGATTCTAGGACAGGTGCTGGAGCAGCTATGTGGTTGATGGTAGTAGATAGTAATTCTAAGGAGAGAACTACTACAGGATCTATCTACACATATATATATATAAAAGAGCCTCATGTTCTACGACGTCAATGCACTATCAATTGAGGAGGTTGTGTCCGATCTCGTATATTCCAAGCCAATAGCTTTTCACCGAAAAGTGGTGCCATGTTGAGCTGCACTGTTGAATCAGATGCTATTCAGATTCCGATGCTCCAATATTAGATCGATCGATTGTGCGCACCCTAAAATAAGACCAAGCCTATGTTAGCTAACATAGGCTACAGGAACCAGCCGTCACAGGAGCTTTTCTTTTATGTATTCAAGTTGCTCTATTTTTGTACTGTCTGGAATTATTCCAGCTTGCCTTGCCTCATGAAGAGACTTGGTGGTAGATTTTGCATGTAGTTTGAGATTATTCATAAGCTTGCTCTGCTCTTTTATCTCTGCATTCTGCTATTCTAATTGTTGCTGTAATTGGCTAATAGACTCCAGGAGGGCTGGCAAGACTGAACACCTGTTCGCGGTGTCCTCTACAAACCTGGGAGTGAAATATTCTCCCAGAGCTAAGTTCAGTCAAATTTTGCAATATCAAAGAAGTTGGCCCACGAGGCAATGATTCAAATTACTCCACCATGTCAATCTTTCACTCCCAAAGAGTCCGATTCCCAACTAAGCTTCATCAAGTCTACAAGTACGACATAGTACATCCTCACCCCATTGACCACACCACTATTCGACCTTCTCTGGCCTCAGTTGACCACCAAATACACGCTCACGCCGATATTTATACCCGACGGAGGAAGCAAAGCGTGGCGCACAAATCTGGGAGGCAGTTCTTTTGGGATGGACGTGAGAGGGATCAGGACAAGTTGATAAGATGATGCAGAGGATGGATACAGTCTCGACGGGCGTGAGATTCCGAATTTTGGCAAGAGTTTTACGAATTGAGCTTCGTACGCGCCAAGACTTCGCTTGCGAGAGTGCAGCTGACACTATTAAATCAAGCCAACAATGGAGGCTGTCGTTGTCTGCCTCCTGGTGGTGTTCACCGGTATAGTTTGAGTAGCCTGGGCACCTACTCTTGGGAAGGAGACATCTCTGACCATATTTCGCGCGGAGAAAAGTTAATGGATGATGGAGGCATGTCTGGATAACTCAGGGTTTTTGAGACGTTCCCCTGGGTGGGTATTCACGGATGAGGGTTGACTTGGAGTGAAGAAAAAGCCACCATAACTTTGCAGTAGTACTTGCAAATGAAATCTGAGGCATGAGTGCTCTTCTCTTACGTTGAATCATCTGTTCTGTTCTTTTCTTTGATATTGTGTCATAGCTAGATGGCTGCATATGCAATTAAAATCTGATGCAAAAAAAAACGAAAAAAAAAGTAGCTACCAAAGTGAAACTAAGTACAGAATTTGTAGTCACGTGTGTATTAACAACGTGGCCTACTTGATAGCCCCAATGATTCTTTTTTTCTAACATTTTTACATGTTCTTTTTTCCAATCTTTTAAAATTGAAACTGAGGGTCTTGCCCTAATCAGCTTCACTGATGTGCAATGCAGCCAGTAACAGGGTTTCTTCTGAGCTTATAGAAAAAGAAGTAGTTGAAAGATTTTTCGTCTCGGCCTAAACACACTAGAAGCGTGTTATTATTTTTGAGACTTTATTGGTAGTTTCAAAGATCACATTGCCTAGAGCAAGTAGCAAAGAGAGAACTAGAGGCTCGTATTTCTAGGCAGGTGAGCTTCGGGGATTTGTGAGCGTTTAAGCCAACCACAAGTATTTTTTAGAGTTTTGGGGCTTTATATGCCCAATATCTAGCCACAAACGCTTTGTAGCGCTTGTAATGAGCCTCTTTGGTCTAGCAGCAGAGGGTGAGAAAGTAGGTAATAGAACTGCATATACCGACTTTGCCCATACATTGGCAGATTTATTTCCTGTGATACCCGCGTGACCTGGGCACGGCAAATGTTATCTGATCCTAGGTTAGTCATTAAACTGCAATTTCCTGCCTTCCAAGAGATTTCGAATTGACGAAGAATAGCCACACGCGATGAGCTTTTAGCTGTAAAATTTGCACAGAAAGACGCAGAGTAGCCTCTTGATTATCAAGATAATAGTAAAATTAGTGACATGTGATACTATAGGGTAGCGGGGCGCAGCAGAAAATCCCTCGGTTGGTCCAGTAATTTCGGCATCTTAGACCTCTGCCAGAAGACCCAAAATTAAATGCGGTACCCAGCACTAGATTGGTCTTCTATCAGGGTGCCGTCTGAGAAGACGAACATTTTCAGTGGCGAGCAAGGAGCATGCCAGTTCTTAAATGCCTGTCAACTGGATCCTCCTTCAATAGCTTCCATAGCCGCGATATTTTTTTCCAGGCTGTTGTATATTTTGAAAATTTGAGAGGGGACCTCCGGCGATTTGGATCCATTTGTCAAGTGTTCCAGCGCCTACGTAGTGAATTTCGGGGGTCCACTAAATCGACTCGAACTGCGAGAAAGTCGTGGATCCTTTAGATCCAGTTAGGTGCATACCATCAGCCAATTCTACCAAGGAGAGCCGAGAAAGTTGTAGTTCGGAATACCGGGAGAGCTGCGTCATTTATTCTTTATTTGGAATGTGACATAGGGTGTTTTGAGGTTTTTTAGAGAATTTTGGCCCCTTCGCCAAAAATTATTGGCTCTTGCTGGAAATTTAGACCCTTTGTGTCCGAAGTTTCCCTATGATTGGAACTAAGATTTTCATACATGACTCACAACCTAGATTATTGACATCCCCTTCATTGAGCATATTTGATGCGTGAGACTCGACTGATACATATTATAGTTTGATGCGCATGAGATAGACTTTGGTCCGCTGAATCTGTTCCGATTCTCATGTAATTTACTTTCTTGCGATTCATTTTCGTAGTTCGAGTATGTAATTAGGCTTCTTAATGATACCTGATTTTTTTGGTTTATTGAGATATATGTATATAGGCCAACTAGGACTCACCAAGATAGCTTAATTATTTCATTTGATTTTTTATTGTGATGTAACTGTCATAGTTGGTATGAGTGCACCCATGTCCGAAGTACAAGTGCAAGTATGCGATACAGGGATTAAATAGTCCCAGCACGACTTATTACGATCAGCACTCAGAACTGAGGGTTACTAGTACAACGCGGTGCAGAATATATTACTCCGCTTACGTGACAATGGGCTTTGTTATGGGTGTAGATAATCTACATATATATCAGTCCTATCTGTGGGGCATAGACTATCATTGAATTATTATCTCTCAACTGGTCTCACATTCTCAGTGTCCGATTATCTCTTTCTGCTCATTCGCCGTTATCCCTAGCTTATACACTATTCTATATCTGCTCATAACCTAGTCACATCATTTTTCCGTTGAGCACTTCTATTTTCACAATTTATTTTTGTACTGGAAGTTGTATAGAGAAGTGTATGCTGTTAGGCTTGTATTTAATATCACCTGGTGAAGCGAGTTGGGAGATTGAAGAGTCTGAAAACTGTGGTGGAGAATTGTTGATTAAACCCTCTTAGTATCAGAGGGCTATTTAAACTAATCACTACATCCAAGTGAAGGACATGATTCATTTGTTTATGCTAAACAATTGGAAGGCTGGTCAATGTATGAGTCGTCATGAATGTGGCTAGTGATAATAGAACCTTATTACGTTCCATATTAATGCGATTCTTCATTGCTGAGTAGCGCCAATTTCAACATTTATGGTATATTCTTCCAATTCATATCGATATTATTCTACTAATAAATCGGACCTACATTCATTAAGCCGCCTCACTCATCGAACCCATACAGATTTTCCAACAGTTCAACCGGCTAGTTTTAGTTTCTGTGGAAGTATATATGTTCTGTTCACGAAATTTGAAAGAAAATTCTGTTTTTACGCCTCTATGCAAGTAAATAATCTAATTGCCATTGATGAAGTACCGAGCACCGTAAGAGAGAGGGGACGGAGGCGAAGATAGAACAACCTACTTAGATGCGAAGTGCACCTTCGATGTCAAGTAGACGCTGACATTGTTACTCTTTAGATGGTATGACTGATAACCAAGGTCACATGCTATTAGCATGTCTGTAGGATGGAAGATATACAGTGAGCATTCACGGGAACGTGAAGTAAGGTTTTAGGAATGCATGTGGGCTCATATTTGTGGTAGAGTACGAGCGATGTTATGTGTGCATGTCAAGTGAGTGCTTCTACCTACTTTAGAAGAACAACATATCTTGTGACACGGTCGGCGAATAAGTCTTCCAGTGCTTCATTCCTCGTGATTCGAGGCCCAACTTTATTGTGTGTAACCCTGATTCTTCAAAGGAAGACTAGTGTGTTTCCCCACTACGATGGCTGTAGCTACGGCAAGTTCTTTTATTAACAGCAAGTGCCGTAGTTAAAAAATGTATATAATAATAATAATAACAATAATCCTTGAGTGCACAAAGATTTAGCCAGCTTGCTAACGTCAACGAATCTGATTCCTGGAAAATGAACATCTTTCCAGCACAAAGTCTACAATGACAAGTATCGATTTGTAAAACCAGGACAATGTCACAGACCCTGGGTCTGCTGAATGTGGCGGACACGGTGGCCCAGCGGCCAAAGTATGTAGGCCAGCCTTGTTAACTGAGGCAGGTAGATATGAAGGTTTGTGGCCACGTGGAATATAATACATGTAACAATACTCTTCCCGCCAAATGACCACATAATCTTCAGTATGAACCAAGGCGAATCTAGCTACCGCTCCGTCGTTTATTTCGTTAACTGGGCCATCTACGGACGCAAACATTTCCCGCAGGATCTAGATGTATCGAAATTTTCGCACATTCTATACGCTTTTGCGAATGTTCGACCTGATTCCGGCGAGGTCTATCTCAGCGATCTCTGGGCAGATCAGGACATTCATTTCAGTGGGGATTCCTGGAATGAGACTGGTGTAAATCTCTATGGATGCTTGAAGCAGTTGAATCTTCTAAAGCAGAAGAACCGGGGCTTAAAAATCCTGCTGAGTATTGGTGGATGGACTTACTCTGCCAACTTTGCTCAGCCCGCATCGACTGAAGAGGGAAGGAGGAAGTTCGCGGATTCAGCGGTGGCGCTTCTCTTAAATTACGGCTTTGATGGATTAGACGTTGACTGGGAATATCCCAAATGCCCGAATGAAGCTGAAAATTTTTGTTTGCTCCTCGAAGCTTGCCGTGAAGCCATGGACGCTTACTCCAGTACTCTACCAGACCCAAAACATTTCGATCTAACTGTTGCCTGCCCTGCAGGTCCTCAAAATTACCACATCATGAAAATCTCGGAAATGAACCCTTACCTTGACTTTTGGAATCTTATGGCCTATGATTACGCTGGCTCATGGTCTAGCGAGGTAGCTCATCAGTCTAACTTGTATCCTTCTCAAGATTGTCCGGCTGCGACACCATTCAATACAGCTCAGGCTTTACAGTACTACGTCAGCCAGGGTGTTTGCCCTTCTAGGATTGTTCTCGGCATGCCACTCTACGGCCGGGCATTTGAGAATACCGACGGCCTTGGAAAGTCATATCTCGGTCTTGGAGAAGGATCCTGGGAAAATGGAATATATGACTACAAAGTATTACCCCTTCCTGGATCAAAAGAGCTATATGACGAGTTCGCACAAGCTACCTACAGTTATAATCCGGCCACAAGGAAGCTTATATCATATGATACTATTTTCATGGGTATTGAAAAAGCCAAGTGGATTAAGAGAGAGGGTCTAGGCGGTGCTATGTGGTGGGAAAGCTCCGCAGATGGAATCGGAGAGCAAAGTTTAATACGAGCAGTGGTCAATAATTTGCAACATATTGACCGTAGTACCAACTGTCTCGAATACCCAGCATCTAAATTTGAAAATTTAAGGAACAAGTTCCTCACACCATAGACTTTGGTAATATTCTTAAAATTGTCTACCTCTGCTCATACTCGGATCCTATATACAAAAGTAAACTCAAATGACCATCAAATACGGCTGTGTTGCAAGTAAAGCTCTTGGAATGTACTATTAGTGTCACTAGTAGCTCCAGAATTTCTTTAAACTCTCAGACATATCTATCCGTGCCAACTACTGAAGATGATATCTAATGTGAAATTTATTTATAATATTTAACGTTGTGCCCGCGCACAGCACGTGAGTTCCTCACGTACCAGTTAGCCCAGTCTAAATTAAAGTACCCGACGTGTTGGCGCCCACACAGACCCAACAAAGCAAACAATAGCTAGGTTCTTATCATCCTACGCTCGAAGATTATAGTGTACATGAAGGTCGTCCGTCCAACGAATCTCATGCCATGCCGTTGGTACTAAATCAAGAAAAGATTTTACAAACCAAAATAAAAAATAAAAGGAGAAGATTGTTTACATCAGATCGTGATTTCGTTCGAATCAGACTGTTCGTTGTGTCCTTTCGAATAAATCTGTGACACGCACCCAGTTATTGAATGCATCAACTCCCTCTGCCGAAGCAAGAGCCCAAGATACGCTGGGATTAGAATTCTGTGCCCTGTGGAGCTGAGCTTGGTATTGCGCGAGGTGGCAATAGAAAAAGTGGTTAGGGGACTTCTCTTCTCCGCATGTGCAGGTTAGAATGGCGTTTTCATGCTGAAACCGTCGGTGGTAGTCTACGAAGTCGCCATGACCGGACCGTGAAGCTAGTAGATATCCTAATGCGCGTCGCCCCAGACGGGCGATCCGATGTAATATAAAATAGCTATGGCTGTGTATGAGCTATGAAGTGTCACGTGATTTAAGTTGAGTGTAGCTAGCAAGGCACAGTGAAGGATTAGCCGAAGCGAACGGGCGGGGTGTAATGAACACTTCCACTGTAGAAATGGGATATCTAACGAACGTCTCTTCCATGTAGATTATACATAGATTTAATCTTCACACCTTCCTACCTCTTCTGCCCCACAAATTATTAAGTTCTAGACTCCAAGACGTCATGTATAACCTCATATCCACAGTAATATCTGATCATATTAAGGAAAAAATAATCCCTCAGTCATTGAGGTTGTAGAGCGCGTTGATTCAAGTAACTACCGAAGTGAAACCAAGTTCGGAATTTCTAGTCACGTGTATATCAACAACGAGGCCTGCTTGATAGCGCCAATTATCCCAACTTCTAATAGACCGAGTAAATTCATTTCAAACATGAATTTTAGCTCAATAATTGTTGCAAGGCTCGATTTTCATCATGTAAATGCCACTGCTAATTACTCCGATTCGATGGATTAGATGGAGATTAGGAAATTCGATGGCCAGCCAGAACTAGGTTTAGGCTTTGCGAGCACATAAAGGGGTCGTGGCTGGCACTTTGATTTATGATGAGATATAAAAAAGTTTGGCGAGTTAGTCAGAATAATGCTAGTAGGTCATGCCATTCTGCAAGATTTCTCATGATTTGCTCGTATGTTAAGGCCGGCGCATCTCTCGGCAATAATTCAAGCTCATGGAGAGATTTCTTTTGAGCCTTGGTGCAGAGTGCAAGCTGTAGAGAGACCTATTTTAATCGATTGCAGGTGAAGTCAGACCAATCGTAGACTAATTGGGAGGCTCTGAATTAAACATCGAGGTGGCAAAAATGACACTGGAGTTTATGCCCTGGTCTCTCGTGAAATATATTTAGTTTTGTTAACATGATGGGCTACCAGGTCATGAGGTTCTAGAACATATCCGTCATAAGCTACTATCGAAATGTAGCCAAGTGCAGAATTTACTATCATATACATATCACAGACAGGGCTCGAACTGTAGCTAAACCCAGTTAGATACCAAAATTCAATAATAAATTGTGGAAAGTGTATTAAGTTGTAATAACTGGGGCTGGCAAGCAAGCCATGTTTTTTCTATTTGCACCGGATTTTAATTTCGTATGCAGCCATCTAGCCATGACACCGTGACAGAGAAAAGTACAGAAAAGATGACTCAGTGTAAAGGAAGAGCACTTCTGTCTTGGATTGCACTTGGAATTACAACTGCAAAGTTATGGCGTCTCTTTCCTCGCCCCAAGTCAAGCTTCATCCGTGAATATCTACCCAGAGGAACATCTCCAAAACCCGAAGTTATCTAGACATGCCTCCGTTTGAGGGAACGAAACAATAGCATTGAAGCGGAGTTGAGTTATTCCAAGTGGCGATCAAATGTCTTTGGCAGCTGGAATATGCAATAAGATCAAGGTGTAGATCATTAGCAAAAGCGCTCAGACTCATGTTTCCCCTGTGAAGCAAGCTGTATATAGGTCCCCTCCACCTTGAGCCTCTTTCTAGATCTGTTGTCATGGCGAGACATTCTTGAACCAGAGTCTAAGCAGAGGGTCTGAGGATGAAGTTCACGGAACAGCTTTTTCGGCTCACCCTCAACACTTGCACTTATGTGGTGAGACCAGATATTGCGCCAACTGGAATTGATATGGTTGAGGTCACAGTTTGAGTTATGATGGGAAATCACAACAGTCTTAGTTGAATTATGTTAGATAGTTATTTGCTCTTGAGGAAGCTGGAGCTACAACAAAGTAGTTCTCGAGCTTCACAATCATATAATATTATCATAGTATTCCTCTCGCAATCCCGACTCCTTCTAGCCTTAGTACTTCGTCGAGTTTCCATCTCTCTAGTATTCACCACCTGACCTTTCCATGCCCTCGGCGAACGGCCATCTCGATATAACCTACGGCACGCCGTAACATCTGTAGTAAATCTTTTCATCATACGGTTTATGACTACGATCATTCATCCCCTGACACTCCGTCATCTACTGAATTCTCTCTGCACGAATTATGGTCTGAGGCGTCTCCTTCCCAAGTTGAGTAGGTGCCCTGGCTATTCAAACTATGCCAGAGAACACCACCAGGAGGCAGACAACGACAGCCTCCATCGTTGGCTTGATTTAATAGTGTCAGCTGCACTCTCGCAGCCGAAGTCTTGGCGCGTACGAAGCTCAATTTGTAAAACTCCTTGCCAAAATTCGGAATCTCACGCCCTTCGAGGCTGTATCCTTCCTTCGCATCATCTTGTCAACTTGTCCTGATCCCTCTCACGTCCATCCCAAAGAACTGCCTCCCAGATTTGTGCGCCACGCTTTGCTTCCTCCGTCGGGTGTAAATATCGGCGTGGGCGTGTATTTGGTGGTGAACTGAGGCCAGAGAAAGTCGACGAGAGGTATGATCATTGGAATGAGGATGTACTAGGTCGTACTTGTAGGCTTGACGAGGCTTAGGTAGGAGTCGAACTCGTTGGGAGCGAAAAAACGACGTGGAGGAGTAATTTGAATCATTGCCTCGTGGGCCAGCTTCTTTGATATTGCGAAATTTGACTGAAGTTGGCTCTAGGAGAATATTTCACTCCCAGGTTCGTAGAGGACACCGCGTACATGTGTTCAGTCTTGCCCTCCTGATTCTAGCGCTGACTTGCTATGTTGGACCGTTTTTTTCGAATTGCTTGGAGTGGTGCCTGCGCGAAGGTCGAGGTACGACGTCACGTGACTTTGGCCCAGCATAGGAGAAAGCTAGCCGACGTGCTTGCCCCCCTGAGGAGCCTAGAACTTACTATCTAAGGGCCCTACTATATACACATGTTACGGCGAAACGGGCTCTTCTACTTAGTCACTCCATGTTCCTCTAGTAGAGAACACATATGTACACGATTTACGAGGGAAGAAGTCCTCGTAGACTGGGTTAGTTTAAGGTAGGGTGGCAGGAGGATGCTTTAGGTCACTTTGTGTTGGAAATATCGCGCAATGAAATGGGCGCAATATTCATGGAACGCGAGTAGAAGTTGACCAAAAGAGTTTCATGTTCGGATTACAGCTAAAAGAGTGGGAGACTAATTAGCCAGGAGGACTTCAATTGTCGATGAGTCAACGGCACTCCCCAGCGCCCTGGATGGTACAAAAGAAGTTGGGCTAAGCTACTATACAGCAATCACGCTCTGTCAAGACTTTTCTGACATTTCAGCACGACCTTCTGGATGGAGTTGGAAGGAGGCTAGAAAGGCAGAGTGTGAATTCTCCGAGGTACCTACAAGTCTGCAGCGCCCAGCTGGCCGGCCTCTTCGAGCGCTTCAGAAGGATGACGATGTCTTCGGATTTAGTCCTAGTGTCGGTATTAGAAGAGCCTCGCAACCAGTGGTTTTTGCGATTTTTCCCGGATGCCATACACCCGCAAATGGCCATCGTTTCGTTGACTGGAGCGGGGAGATAATAACGGGCGAAGGGCTCCTCTAAGTGTATGATCCGATGAGGACATGTGAGGGGTGGTGCTGCTTGCGGGTAGCTGTGTGGGAGGCACAGGAGGGGATATACTACTGGCATAGGTATCCTTGGCCTGTAGGCAGAGAGGGCCTGCATATCCTACATTGTCATAGACTCAAACAGGACAATAAAATGAATTAAGAAAAGAGTGGAAGGTGTGCGCTGTAACTACAAGGGTAAGCGATATAGAGTCTAAACAACAGCAGCGCCATCTGGGCCTAGAAAACTCCCAATGAACTCCTTACACCCACGTCATATAGCCGCCCATGTACCTATTAGGTTGTCTGAAGCACTGCCATATTATCCCTTCCAAAACCTTGTTGTGCCAGTGATAACGGGATGACGATGACCAAGGGTAATGATCACTGAGAGTGAAGGAACAATGGAACACTGCATATAAATTTTTTCTAGATTACACTACCAGACGGATGAGACTAGAATATTCCGCGATACTGTTTTGGGAATATAAATATAGAGTCTAGCTACCTCAGACGTGTATGGTAAAAAGATTTTCCTATCTCCTAAGTTCTAAAATGAGATTATCAGTATTCATCCCTGAATCTTCTACCAATAAAAACTCCCAAAGCACACTGAGCTGTACGAGTACTTCTGGAATGGAAGTTTTAACTGTGTTTTCAGTGGCGTTGTTGAGTTTTGACGAATAATAGAATTCTATTCACCCACTTTCTGAAGGTAGATGCGCCATCTTTCGATCCTTAGATCCAACCGTCACTAATGGGAGGGTATCGGCTTAGGTCGAGACAGGGAGTCGGTTAATTTTATTTAGACTTGGCTAGCTGGTACGCGAGGAGATCACGTGCTGTATGTGGGCACGAGGCTGATTAACGTAAACAAGTGATTGATAGTTAAGTAATTAGAAAAAAATGTGAGTGATAGAATATTGAATAAAAGGGTTGGATGTTGCAATAGTACATTGTCCGATCCTTTCTCCCAAGAATAATCTGGGATTCCTGGCCAATGCACCCACTCGAAACAGGAATTAGCTGGTTTCTGTCCAGCACATCCATCCCACAACATTTTCTCGCAGGGCATCGGGACTGGGATTCCAGCTTGGATCAAGCAGATAGCGGTGGTTCAAAGAGTACCTACAGGCCAGCGAAACATGCGCGGAGGTCAGTCGGGTAACGGTGTGGATTCCCGCAACCGGGAGGTTGTAAACCGATAGCCTATGTCGATTGGCATGGAGTGAGTGTTTGAATAACTCTTTTGACCTCAGAGACGCTCATACTCTGGATTTCATTTGCAAATACCACTATGAGGTATGTTCGCTTACACAAACAGTCGACCCTCCTCCCTAAGTACCCAGCAATGGGAAATTCGAAACCTTTGATTATCCAAGCATGCCTTTGTCATCCAATCACAACATCAACGCGAGAGTTGTGGTAGATTTCGGTTGGATCCGGATCAGCGTTCTCATGCCTCAAATGGGACATGTGTCCAAACTATATGACTCTAACTAGCACACCGGCCTATAACTTATACCACTATACCACCCTACTCTCCCGTCATGTCGATGCCAGCGAATCCTGTGGCAGTAGTAGGGCTAGCATGCAGCGAGGATCCTGTGGTCCTGAACATTCAAATGCGCTCAGCATCAGGATAACATGGACCACCCAGATAGCTTGGCTGCACTGATAAATAAGATCAATGCACATAGGGTATACTAAAGCTTACTCTATTCGATTCAAGGCATTGCAAGTCACGACTCTATTTGACGACGGAGCTGCGGAAAAGCCACAGCTCGCCGTTCACATGCCCACCCAAGCCTCGTCCAACCGATCATTTGACAGCTGCAGTGCAAACCTACAGGTGGCAGTTCACGCTGGCAGAATTCTATTGATATGCTTTGAGCAGTGGGTCAGGTGTACATGGTCAGGGCAGCAGGTAGGGAAAGTCGCATTGTGGATCATGCGAGTGGAAAGGGGCCGCGGAAGCTATCTAGCTGCTAGTGCGTTAGACTTTTGGAAATGAGGGTCGACTAGGCGTATTCTGCATTCAACTATCCGTCAAGCACCTCGACGATTAGCGGCATGAAGAAGTCGAGCTGTGTCGAAAGCAATCTGGAACACTTACATTCTCATGCCCAACCAGCGCACGTCCTGTGGATCCCGGCAAGATGTAGATCCTCAAGGGTCGCTCACGGCCTCACGAACATGATGGGTGAAACATGACTCGAGTTAATCCAAATCTGCGATTATCTTTTTGTTGCCTGGGCATTAGTATCACATGATCATCATTAATACGCTGAGTCTAATATTGGCAAGAATCCAAGCCGACAAACAACGAGATTAAGTTAGAAGTGTAAGATTGATGTGGCCGAAAGGCTACCAGCGCTGGTTTGAAGAACGAAATCTCAAGGTCTATCAGCAACGTCGTTTGAGAACATTCTACAGAACTATTGCTGAGCTTACCACCCAAAATTAGGGCTTTAATCGTTAATAAGCCTGGCTTACTCCATTGCCCAAGATGACACTAATAAGTTGAGCCAGGCTATTCTACGGCAGACACTCTCTGTCAAAACACTTTTGACACGTCAACAAGACCTCCGCTAAGGTTCCGTGGAAAAGGCGGCTGAATTTCATCAGTAAATTCTGAGCTGGATGGCTATTAATCACGGGTAACATACCAATGATCTTACAAGTAACAAAAGAGGATAGATACACTGCATAAGACGTGGCCTGGGCCAGAGAGGAGCGCGAAGTATTAGATAGTCATGGGCTCAAGTAGCACAATAAACCCACACACGCAAAACCTCCGCTTAGTTCTCAGATTTGGAAGATGTAAAGAGTTTATCAAGCCCAGGAAGGCAGCAGATCCCCATCTTAGCTACATATATTCGTGCAGCGCGGAGGACGAAGACTGTAAACTCATCCCGGGTGTCCTCTACAAACCTGGGAGGGAATTATTTTTGCAGTTTCAAGTTCAATCGAATCTTTCATGACCGATGAAGTTGGCTCACGTAGCAATAATACAAAAGTCCACCACAATCTTTCAGCTCCAACAAGGTCATTGCCGACCAAAGCCTCACATAGTCTACAAGTACGACATGGTACACTCTCATAACAATAACTTCTCTCAATAACACGCCCTCTAAGCTCCGCTGTAGACTAAACACACTCCCATAAATGTATGAATGGCTGTAGGAGTTCTTGTTGCGCAAATATGAGGAGGTTTTATCGGGTTGGACTTGAGACAGACGAGGATAGATCGATAAGGCTAATCCCTGGGGCTATCCTCAGATATTTAGAGTAGCTTTTCATGTTCAAAGGCATTGTATTTACAGAGGATTGGCCTGCCAAACAGTAGGTGACTCTATAAACATACTTCAATCTCGTCATTCATGTAGAGCTTAGATAGCCTGAACACTCATCTCACTTGAGACAGGGGATCGCTAGTTCGATTCCATCCATGCTCAACAATACTCCTCGTGATGCTCGCATTCATGGATGATGAGGGTATGCTTGTACAGCCAATGGGATTTAATTTCCCATGGTCGGTGTTCACGGGCCAGCGTCGACCGTTTCGTGTCGACAAAACTACCTAAGCGTGATCCTTGCGAATGAACTTCAGAGCATGAATGTCCGCGAAGCTCAAAGCGTCAATTATCATGCATTCAAAGCGTGAGCCTCGTATGATGGCCAGAAATTCACATACACTGAGTGTTTGTAAACAAGTCTACAGTGTCGAGTTGGTCTTCGCATCGTTTGCGGGGGTGTGAGTATCCGGGGAGGCCCGCAACCAGTATTCTTTCAGTTTCCGATGACCATGCGCCCCCCCCCCCCCCCCCCCCGAGACAGCCTTCCATCGATTAGGGAGGAGAGATGAAAGAATTAGGGGACGCCCGAGCGTATGATTGAAAGTTTTAAGTAGCGGCATGACTGCAAGGAAGATGTAGGGGGGGTGGCTGAGGATATACTGCCCGAGACATAATCACCCCAGGCCGGTAGATGGAAAGGAACTACATGTGCTACGTAGACACAGGCCGAGAAAGGACAGGAATAGTAACCACAACTCATCAGTGGTATGAGGATTCCTGAGCTTGTGTCTAGTCGGCCACCGTTTAGTCAACGGTGCGGATTGAGCCGCTTCCTAGGTACAGCCTTTGATGTTGGTCGAGTACACGTACGCGCAGCTGAGATCCTTCACATAGACCCCACACACCATTTTCTGAGAGATTAAGCGATTAGGGCGAGGCCTGAGCTTTGACTACTTGCGGTAGTGAACTAAGAGAGCTTGCCATTGGATTCCTACATACGGGAATCCCTCTACTGTAAGTCATGTAAGGTCATGCTGAGCCTGAGTTCGCATTTGAATGTAGACAAAGATATCCGGGCAGGCTTAGTCTCTAAATATATGGCTTATTCCATTATCCATCTATAATGAAACCTAATATGATTGTCAATATTTATGAATAGAAATTTAGTCTCTGGGCTCCATCTAGGCATCTATGATGTCACAAGATTTGATTCTGAAACAGCGCGGGATATAAGGTTTTCTGGTAAAGGGTTCCTAGGGTATGATTCGGATTGTAGGTAGCTTCAGGTTGACATGGCTTCTTGGCTAATAATCAGTCTGAACTATGGAAGTAATCCAGACAAATGACCAGTTCTTAATTTCACTTGAGGTTAGCTTACTCACCATCTTTCATTCTTAAATTTAAATCCGTTCCAAGATGCCAAGTACATCATGTTTGAGCAGTTTATCCGTCCTCGATATCTTCATTAAATCGGGGGGTTATTATATATGTTATAAATTTATCTTGTAAATGGTTTCCGACGCAAGAATATCCCAAGCGTCTTCCTGTCCTTTCCCTGCTCCGATTGCTCCAAGCCTACATATAAATTTTCCCTCTGTAAAAATTTGCGTTTTCCACAATTAGTGAATGTCCTCATTCAATTTATTGCCTTTTTCTAGAATCTTTGAATCAAAGCTCGACTAGGGCGTAAGATTGCTTATAAAACAATTGTAAACATTTCTCGCCGTTTCGACATTTGCTTTTTTTCTCGTCAGCCCAGAGTTAGACCCTAATATCCCAAGATGGAAATCCAAAAGCTGTTTTCGTCCATTCAGTAGAGGGTTGAATTTCAGGCCTAAAGCCTGCATCAAAATAACAAAAAACCTGCCGCCCAAAACGGAACCGTATATGTAAAAAGCCTACAAAAAGCGCCTGTATACCAGCCATAACATCAAGCGTCGATTAGAAAGGTGTTGCTATGCAAATAATAGCAGTTGGGAGCATAGAATCACACATCTTCATCAATAATTCTACCTATATTTCGATCTCTCCCGCATAGAAAATTTCGGCTAATGTCTATAGATGACTGTGTATCTATTGGGTTCTTTTTCGCAGTAATGTTTGTGCAAGTTTTTGTCTCTTCTTTAAAGCCAGAAGCGGCCTCAATTTCTACGTTTATATCCAATTTTCTAGAGCTATTAGTAGGATTTGTTGATTTCGAATTGCTTGACGGTATAGAATTATTGTGGGATATGTTACTTGAGGTATTTTGAGATGTTGTTTTGGGTGACGAGCGGAAGAGCTCTTGCTGAAGTGAAGATGGTACCGGTGATGCAGAATTCCTCGAAGTTTTACTGTGAGATACCCGGGGGCTAACTCTGCCGTTCTATGTAAAAGTTAATCAAGGGTTCATTTGATTCTTGGTAGAATATCTGGTTTCAGATATAACTTGTTGTCGAAAACAGTTTGTGAATGGTAATTTGAATTGATTTTATATTGAATATGACAAACATTAAAGCAGAGAATATGACCTAATGAATTCGGAGAAAATCAACTGAGAATGAAGTCTATGAAAGAAATAATCCTCATGAATTTAAAGTTTCAGGAACAAAGTATGTTCATTTCCATGGATTCTCAAAACGGAAGATTTTGTAAAAGGCCAAGGACACGCAAATCAAATTCATCAATAAACTTTCAAAAACTGGATTATTTTTGCACAAATTAATATGCTCGACACGATAGGAAATAAATAACAGTAGTAACCACTTACCTGCTTTGCGTATCGTAGCCCACAACTATTACATAAGTCTCTATGTCCACTGGGTCCTCTCCTCCATTCAGGAGTAACGCGGGTATGACAATTAGCACAATCCCTCTGTAAGTATCCTGCTCCTTTTCGTCTTTTCCTCTTCTTTTTACTTGAAATTAGGGCTGCAAGCTCCTCAGCTAACATGCGATTCGATTTCTCCATTTGACGTAGTTCGAACTGCCAAGATGTGCAACGCGTTGTTTTAAGTTCATCAAAAATATTTGAATCTGACGCCAACGCAACATGTTGAGACCCTATAGCAAGGCCATGGTTTCCGGCTTTGGTCACTAGGCCACGGGAATCAGAAACCGAGCTCTCTGTGTCGCCGGGCTGACCTTGGAGTGCCGAGCTCGTAGAAAGTTGAGAATTCGCACCGTTGACTCCTCTTAGTGATGCTTTCACTAGCTTAGTTTGGGCTACAAGAAATGTTGGCTTTTGTCCCTCTAGAGCATCTCCAGGATAGAGAGTAGTTTGAGCCTGCATCATTAGGCCTCTTTTACTAAGGATTTCATGCTTGTATGTTATTCTCCTGCCAGTACTTGCCTTTTCTAATGACCGACAAAATTCCAGCTTTGATTCGGTCCTCATCAGTGCTTGAATACTGGTTCCAACAAGATCTTCGGGAGAGCGGTCTAAGAGACTTCGAACATTTGATGAAACGAAAAGAAACATTCCTGAAGTTGATATTTTGTTCCACATTTCATTCTCACCAATACCGCCTGCCGCTTCAATATCGTGACGATGTAAGGCATATACTGGTCTTTCTCTTCCTACAAGTATTATGCATTTTCTTCCCTTGCCTTGCTCTACACAGAGAGAACCATGACTTTCAAACCAAGTGTAGCCACTTTTTTTCCGTCGTATTCGATACAAAACATTAACTGTAGATCCAGTCGACGTGTCCTTTAATTCTCGAGTGACAGACACAATGTCACTTGGATGGCATACTGAGGAGAGCGCAGTACCAACTAGCTCAGATGCATCATATTCGAGCACATTACGGCTAGATGGTGATAAGTAAAGAAAAAGTCCTTTGAGCGAAAGAACGTGAACAACATCATCAGTATTTTCTAGAATCATTTTATCCCACATTCGTTTTGCTAATTCTGATTCTATTCCGGAGTTTATAGATGTTAGAACCATAGATACATCCTCTTTACTGATTGTCTGCCCACTTTCCGAGACCTTGTGTAGACCAAATTTAGGAGGTTGCCATACATATATTGGCATAATACTTTGCGAATAGTCGACTGTATAATTTCCACAGGGAGTTTTCCCCTGAACGGAGCTGGGTCTCTCAACAAGGTCAACCTGAAATCCTACTAAATACTTGATAGTCTCATTGTCCTCCCCAGTGATGGGTATAATTGTGAGTAAATTCATGAATGGCTGCCCCCCCTTGCGGTAGTTAATTACGCTTCGCTGAGCCTCCTTTCTCTGTTCTATCCGTTGTTTGAGGTAATACACAGATTCGTTGTCAACAAATTCTCTTGTTGTACCTGCCTCTACTTTTCCTTCAGGAGATTGGAGAAAGCGGCAATTCCGTCCTTTGACTTCGTACTTGCTATATCCTGTTAAACGTTCGAATACATCAGAAACGTAAATTATAGGGCAGTCGTATTGCAATACATCGCATACCGCAAATGCACACGACATATCCACCTTCCCAATGTTAATTTCGGGGTTTTTTCGTGAGGCAACTTTTACAAGAGCCCCTAACATATCAAATCCACTTTGACAGTATAAATTATTCGATTTAAAGTAGGACTCAGTGGAAAAGCTGGTTTCGTGTGTCTCTACAGGATGAAATCTCATTATTTGAGGGAAACTTTGGTCGGAATCGGGAACGGGTATTTCAGCGGATGTTGAGACAAAAGGCGACGTAAATTGACTAGTATTAAACTTTTTCGAAGAGGTGACTATATCCTTCCCGTCCACTGTAGTCCGAGGCATCCTCGAAGTAATTATGCTACCATCGTGATGTGGAGGTAGAACTTGAAGAGTAGACGGTGCCATGGTAAGATTGTATACTGAGTAATCCACGTTATCACCATCACAATTTCGACTAAAATTTGGAGAATAAATTTCTGAACACTGGTTAAACTCATCTGGAATTCTTTTCATTCCCATTGAGGTCAACATCATATTTCCGTATATATGTTCAGATATGTTTTGAAATTGCGTTTCGGTGTTGGCTGCGTCATTCTGAGCTTGTTCTCGATTTGAAAGATTCATTTTTGTACCGGATAAGTTCATGGTGAGTTCGACATCTTCATAGTTGCTCATATCAAACGTAGACCGCTTCCGTGGTTCGTGGTTTTCCGAGGAATGCTGGCCGCTGTATTGAAAAACGTTGAATTCGGTATTTGAGTTGTCAAGTTCCATCAAGGAAGATCTATGGTCGCCTTCCTGTTCGTCATATTGCCTAGGAAGTGTCTGCCTAGTTTGTAGCTCCATGTTATTTTGGGAAATAATTTCATCCAACGAATCTCCATGAACCCCCGCGGAAATTTCGTAGTTCTCCGCACTATGGTCAAATTGATGTAGAGAATCATGATACGCCGGGGGGAGATTGCTCGATCTTGATCCTCCACTTTTTCTTCGGGAGACAATCATATTCTGCAGATCTTCGAACGAGTGTTGTGTATCGATGAATTCGTTCATGATCTTGACATTTGCTTCTACGGGCCTCACTTAAATTAATTTCAGTAGTTAACTCTTCAATTTGGACTCATGGACGCTGTGCCTTTTTTGTCGTATATCTTGAATATTGACTAACCACTAAAGCTCTATAATAAATCTTCACTTGATCGCCTGGGTAAGTAAAAGAGGTTTATTTGACGCTCTTGCAATAATTGAGTTTAAAATTTGCGGAAATTGTCAGTAAATATGCGAGGCCTCTGTTCGTCTCTTTCAAATTTGTATAGATCACGTTTACCTAGTTGCCAAAACGCTGACTTGATCAAAAGAGACTGCTAGAGGCCAGACTTGACGAAGAGGTCCTAATAGCAGAGCGGGAGCCTGTTCCTCGAAAGTAGGTGTCTTTATTTTTGAGGCGACTTTGAATCGTTAGGCAAAGCTCAGTCGATAATGCTCTTTAATGTATAATTTCTTTGAAAGATCGGGGTTTCCACTTGGATTGAATAAGTCGCTGTAATTTGCTAGAATTCATGAGCCTAACTGAGTACTGTTGTTAGATTTGCGGCATGGAACAGCGAAGACTAGCTGATGAGTCGAAAGCGCGCTACACCCACTAGTTGTGGTCTGCGTCTACTTTACCATGTTGTGAACAATCGATAGGTAGGTGGTGGAATTTAGAATGATATCACCATGTTCAAGAACAGAGAGTGAGTGTCTATCAATATGTAACTTCCCAGTCCAATGAGAAGAGTGAGGATGTTGGTAATATGAGGCTAGTTGTTTGACCGGCGAGTGTTGAACGCCGATTTCTGGTAGTCAATGCCTAAGGCTAAACCTGGTAAAAATCCAGTGTCAGGTTTGTAGGTCTCAGGCGGCAAAGCGATAATGACAATGCTCACAGTACCGAGCTGTACAGCTAATCATCAGCGATCGGGCATGGAACGCAATGGAATCAACTGGGATTAACCCTAATATACGCCCGGTTCATTTGCAGACAGTTACAGACGAAATGGCGCTGCTTTGGAAGAGGAATCATTCGAAAGTAAGCCATGGATAGAATTACATAACATATTCATTACATTCCCTACCACTTGAAAATTTTTGCGAGAAACTTTGTGATTGCGTTAAAGTGTTAAGAATTCTCTGAGCTAGATGGTCGGCAAAGCAATTTGGATGCCTTCAGGCTGTCAAAGCTATTTCCTAGTCGTCAACCAAGCACTGACTAAGTTGATGGATACTATAAGCTGCAAACCGTGTGAGGCAGTGTTTCCTTGGATGATTAACACTACAGTTAGGGGCAACCACAATTAGAGCCTTTCCCCACCCCCACTTTTCATCATTTCTCCAAGCCAATCCCTTTCTCTGGGTCTACCTATTTCCCTGTTCCCGCATCCTTCAGTCATCCCGGTACAAATCCCATCAGTAGAGAATGCGATTGTAATATTTCCGCTACATGGGGATGGGCGAAATTTTCTAGGAAGTGAATTCGTGGCACAGATTACTCGTGACAACCACAGTCTGGAAGGAGACAAAAATTGAACGCCAGCCCGCGGTGTTACCCACGAACCTCAAACTCTCACTGTGTTGTCTGCAGAGCTGAGTCTGAGTCACATCTTATCGATTTTGAGCTGAGAAGTCTCACCCTTCGTCAAAGATATACTTCCTATAACTCCTGCAACGATCACGAAGATGATAATGACACTAGGTAAAAGAAGAAATATTTCGGTATTAAACGCTACAACGATAGCCAGAGAATCCCTCGTTATGATGCAACGCGTGCCACCCACCGGCGGGCGAACAAATAGCTCATGAAAGTAAAGTAAAGACCCTCCTATCCTCAGAAAAAGCTGGATGAGATTGCTCGACAAATCTGCCTTTTCATTTCTAGCTCCCAAACATAATACCCGGTAGGGCATCCAAACTAAGTAAGCTACTTGATAACCTCATATCTGTAATGACTTTTGGTTGCTAGGCTAGGCTATTTCACGGCAAATGCTCCTGGCCAAGCAATTAATCACACTATTTCACAGCCTTCGGCTTGTTCTGCGGCACGAATCGATCAAGGAGTAATGAGGATTCTAGGATGTAAGAGGTAAGATTTTAGGCATACATGGCTTAGCTGCGCCAAGCTACCTGGCCTCTTCGAACACCTTGAAGGGGTAGTTACATCTTCAGATTTGATCCTGAAGTTAGTAGGAGAGCTCTTCTCCCAGCTGCTTTCACGAATTTTCCCTGCAGCGACACACCCGCAAATGACCTTCATTTCGATGCCTACAGACGGGAGATAAAAATGAGATACCAGCTCCTCTAGGTGTTTATTCAAATGAAGAACTCTGCAGGCATCTCTGTTGGGAAGAAGTCGCGATGGAGGCATATGAAGGAATACTTCTAATGAAACATAATTTCTCTCAGCCTGTATGTAGAAAAGAACCACATGTTCTAGCATACACACAGATTTGATATTACAATAGATAACCCAAGTGAGCACATGGGGCTCAACTCGTATTTATACAGAAGAAACGTACCCGGAGTATTAAATCCAGGCTGTCCATGTAGCTACCAATCGCAGAACCCCGAGCACATGATTATGTCCTGCCCTCGATGGTCAAATGGAAGAGGAGAGATCTGGAGACAAGCGAAAGATCGATCCTACGAAGCTATGCTTAGCAATCCTGGAGATATCAAAAGGATAACACAGTGGATCCTAAATCATGGTTGGATAGAGAAATTCCATATGATAAAGGCGGTCGAGATGCTGCTGAGGGAAAGGAACAGGTCATGCCTTTCTTGAGGTCGATAAAGCTGATGTGATTGGGTCATATGGAGGGCACTACAGTGTAACTGCGCTTCCTAAAGGATACTTTATAAAAAACATAGAAATAATGCAAGAAGGTTTGGGGGGTTTTCACCAAAAGGTTTCCTGCCATGTTAATTAGAAAGTATGATAGACACCTGCATGGGCCCATAGGGCTCCAAATCAGGATAATGAAATCAAATTCAAATAGTTAACCCAACTTGAGCTTAGTGATACTTCACAACCAGAATAACTTTACATATATTCGAGGGTTTAAAATTTAATCGAAATCCGATCCCGAATTGAAAGATTCGATGCCGCTTCATCGAATCTAATTCCTCATGCTTAACCAACTATATTCATCTCAATCTTAAGACTAGCGGTTTGTATCCTTGGAGCTTCAACGCCTAAACACCTACGGCATCTCAGTCTCTTTTTCAAATTTCACATCTACCATCAATTAACGCCCTAAAAATGGTAGTTATTAATATTACTCAGTAATTGCCGGTGATATTCCAAGAGCATTTGAGTGGGTTTCGATAACAGGCATTGAAGCTGAGAGAGATCGGCGGGCCAGTAAATGAGAGCGTCACAGACCTAGTAGTGTATCCGATATTGGAACAATCGATCAAACCTCGTCAATCATGATTGTACCCAGTCTGAAACTACTCATTGTGTAGAATCTTACCGATCTAGTGCATCTAGCTACTGGATAAAGTAATAATTCATTTTCTTGTCATGTCTAAGTCTATAACAAAGTAGGAATTGCAGCTCCTCTCTGCCTACAAGCCAAGGATACCTATACCAGTAGTATGTCCCCTCCTATGCCTCCCATACAGCTCCCCTCAAACAGTACCGCCCTTGACAAGTCCTCATTTGACCATCCACTTAAAGGAGCCCTATGCCCTTCATCATCTCCCCTCTCCAGCCAACGAAACGATGGCCATTTGCGAGTGTATGGCAGCCGGGAAAAATCGCCAAAACCATTGGTTGCGAGGCTCTTCTAATACCGACATTAGGACTAAATCCGAAGACATCGTGATCCTTCTGAAGCGCTCGAAGAGGCCGGCCAGCTGGGCGCTGCGGACTTGTGTATACCTCTGGAATTCGCTCTCTGCATATCTAGCCTCGTTCCAACGCTTACCTGAAGGTCGTGCTGAAATGTCAGGAAATTCTTGATAGAGCGTGATTGCTGTATAGTAGCTTAGCCTAGCTTCTTTTGTACCGTTCGGGGCGCTGGGGAGTGCCGTTGACTCATCGAAAATAGAAGCCCTCCTGGCTAATTAGCCAAAATCTTGGTCTTGGTGCCCGCAAACATTCCAAAGTTGAAAACCCCTCGAAAATGTCAGTCCCAGCATGGTCTTCAGAGACCTATTCCCCCTCTCGCTCTAAATCTCAGCCGCATGTCCTTCTTCACGATGTATAACCCCATTAAAGCATCAGTCCCCCATAAACCAAGACCCGAGCTTCGCATATTATGACTTAATTTCCTCCTTGCGGGTATACGTAGCGTCGTAGATTTGTAGTGAGTGATGGCCGGTGATGAATGAGGCAAGCTCCTGTGAGAATTTAGGGTCATGTCTTTATCGGTCGTTGAGGCGAGATGATATGTGGTTAGATCGATGTTGAGGACTCAGAAGATAATGGTGAGTGCTGCATGATTGAGAAGTCGTCAAATGAAGATGTGCATGTGTTTGGTTTAGACGTCGATTTGGATGCGATTCTTCTTGCCTACCCCAGATATTCAGAGAATACTGAGTGATTTAACTGGCAACACGGAAAGGCGAAGAATTCGTCTATACACATGTATGTACTCATGTGATGCGCGTAGACATGATTTGATCCTTAAGCTCCTGATAATTAGCACGACTCACATTTGAGTCATGCCTTAATATGAGCTTGCATAAATAGAGTCATGTAATTTAATCACTGAGTCTTGCCGATGAGGCCCTTGCTTCTTTGCGCAGACCAGGATTATGACACGACTGTGATTGTGAAGCTACAGTGAACATGGTAAATAAATTTGGATTATGAAGAGTTCTTTTTTTTTTTTTTTTTTTTTTTTGCATCAGATTTTAATTGCGTATGCAGCTATCTAGCTATGACACAATATCAGAGAAGTGTATGATAGATGACTCAATTTACAAGAAGAGCACTCATGCCTCGGATTTCATTTGCAAGTACCACTGCGAAGTTATGGTGGCTTTTTCTTCACCCCACGTCAACCCTC